GCGGCCCGCGCGGCGGGAGCTATGGCAACGGCCCCGCCCCCCCCGGCGCGCTGCGGGGGCGCTATGGCAACGGCGCAGACCATTGTCGTCCGGGGGCACCATCCCCTTGGCGCGAGGCCCCGCCCCCGCCAATCAAGCACGGCCCTCTCCTCCGGCCCGGGTAGGGCGCGTGTGGCGCGGCGCCCGGGCCGCCGCGCGGTACCACGGCTGCGGCTTTTTAAAGTCAAGTGTGAAAAGCGGCAACAAACCCCGACTTTTTCCTGCCCCATCTTTCATAAAGGCATTTAACTATGAACGTGACGCTTCAAAGCTGCTTGCAGTCCAACTTTCGTAAATTTATTAGCAGCCACATTGTGGACACAATCGACATACAGCCAGGCACTGTATCGCAAAGGTGAATTACAAGGCACAAATGCTGCCCTCCACCTCCCCATCAAGATTCCTGAATCGCCTTGCAGAAGGACAAGCGCTGCCCGCCAGAGACGTGGCCTGGAAGGCAGGGGACGGGAAGGCCTGCGCGCGTGGCACGGGGCAGCTGCTGCAAGTGGAGATGGAACAGCCACGCTCACGTGGCACCGCACCGTACTGCGCTAGCAAGGCCCACTCGTGTGTGGGACAGATTAGCGGAGAAATGCTACCACGGCTATGCAGGTCTGGCTCCAGATCTGCCTTGCGCATACCTGCAGAGCACCTCCTTTCCCTGCATCCATCATCCAAAATGCTCCAGCAGGGCTCTCGCCTTACGCGGCAGGGCTGTCTGCTTGGTTTTGGCTAGGTAGCTTCCCATCATGCAGAACACCAGGAATCCATTCACTCATCTTCTCAGCACCTCAGACCCTCACCCCTCCACTCCCCCACACTCCTTGCTAATACGCTGAATGAGGTATCCGGCACCGTGACACTGGACCCCAGGCAACCTCCTCAGTGTTACATAAAATACAGCATGCACTGAACCCAGTATCTAGTGGAAAAGGGCCTCATGGTGATGGAGTGGAGCTAGTTATCACGGGACAGTTAATACAAATGGGCACAAGCACTCAGCACAGCTCACGTACATTAGGAACAAACATTTCTGGAAAGCATGCTCTAAAGCTACCTGCCTCCTACCACCTCCATAGCAAACCCATTAGCCCCAAGGCTCGCCAGCCCCAGCACTAGAAAAACTCCATTCTACATAAAGGAGGACCCAAGCACAGCTAATTCCAGCTGAGAAGAACAATGCCCTGTGGGAACTAAGCACCTTGAATGCAAACCTTAAACTGTGGCTCCAATATTTTAACTCCAGGCTCCCCAGGGGTCCCAAAGGACACATTCAAGTCATATTTTGTTTCATCATAAGGAAGCTTTATTTCTCTCATCAGTCAAATAACTAACTTCTTGCAAAACGTGCAACAAATCCCACAAGCAGACGAGCTGGCCTCAGCCTGCAGACCGAAAGTTCACAATACAACATGCTATGAGCTAAGATATACCATTTCAAAACACAACACTACACAGAGCATGCATGGCAGACAACTCCATCAAGAACCCCCCACAGCTGACTGACTGCAATATTCTACTTAGGAGTTTCCAAGGCACAGAGAGTGTGCAAAACCAGCCCCCTACAGCCAGACATCCACAGGCAGCACAGCCAAACATTTACAGCCTTTCTTGTAAGTAGGTGCACAAGGTAGCCTGGTGGCTCTCATTTAGAAAGGAGCATTTCATGGGTGGCTCAAGCAATCACAGACCACAGGTGGGGTCAGTCTCATCACGCTGTTATCACACTGTAGTCAGGCAGGCAGTCAGTCAGCCAATTCTGTCTACTTACTGGCCAGCCGCACAACTCCCCCACCCTCTAGTTCCAAAGCCCACAATCCCTTCTTGGCATCTTGACTTCTTGCTTAAAAGTCCCTGCCCCAACCCAGCTCTTTGACTTTTCTTTACAGCAGATTTACAAACTACGACCCTATCTCTTCTGCAGATTCACTGACACTGAGGTTTCTCCTCTGCTTTTTTCTTCAAAATCTCATCCCACCCTTCTAACTGATCAGCCTGGTCCCATTTTCACGCTGCTCCCCGCCCCCCGGCCTCTCTTGCTCCCTTCAGATTTATCTCCCTCAAGTACAAATATGCGCTGGCCCTTAGATGTTCAGTGTTTTGACAGCAGTGTGTGATCCCTGCCCCCTATCCCTGAAAGGCCCACTGCTCCCAGGAATTTTTCATAGTCCTGGAATGAGCAGAGAACTCTTAACCTGAATACTACCTTCAACTTCCTTTTAAAAAAAAAGCCTCCCTTAACCCTGTTTCAAGGGAACCATTTAAATTAATTTCCACATCACATTCAGCAGTGGGGACAGCTGCAAATACCATCCAACCATTTCCACCTTTCCTCACTGCAAGTTAAAAAGGTAGATTAAGGAATGTATTTCAGCATGTACATTTTAAATCATGACATGGAAGTGCCATTTACAAAGTGAGGACCATCAAATCCCACAGCACATACAATGCCTTTGTTGCACATCCAAATGGCTCAGATTTCAAGACAGACAGTAGACCACTACTACCTAGGTCAATCCCCCTTCAGCTGCCCCAGCACACCACCCAAGTAAGCTACAGTCCCCAGCCAGCCCTCTCCAGACCATACCTAAAGGCCTTCTCCATGCACCTGTGTTCCTTACCTTTCTGTCCTGCCCTGATACCACATGTTGTGGACCACCCATCTCTCCCTTATCTGCCCCTTTTTGCTGCAGTGGAAGACACACTGCTACCACTGGCATGTTAAGTTGTAGCCCTTTCCTCAGCTTCTCTGGTACCTTACCAAGAGGTTCTGGTGCACTTTCCTCCTATACGCCTCTGCCCTCCCTACCCACGGCTCCATGAAGTCATATGTATCGTTTTCAAATTCCTCCAGGTACCAACTGAAATGGCCAATCATTGACTGGTGTCCAAGGAAGAAGCTGGATGAAAAGTTCTCTGCAACAACTGCGAGGCCTACTTCTATTCCTCAACCCTTGGATACATGGGGACAAAGTTCCTCTAAGCAGTCTCCAATGACTCTTTGAACTCCCTGTTACACACCAAATGCTGTCCAAAACTCTCTGCTTGGTGTTCCCAGCTGTTTCTCCGTACACCTTTGACACTCATCACTCCTGTCCCTATTCTGTCATTTGTTGTGCCCTGTGTTTGGCTGATTCCTAGCTCTGTGACCCTCTCCAGCTGGGAGTGACAGGTCTTTTCTTCTGGTGGGCTCCTTCGTACCTTCTCGGATTACAAATCTGCAGCTACATGGGGTCTTAAAAAAAAGCAGCTCCTGGGAAACCTTTACACACATATACAGAACCCAACCCCATACAAGAAAATGGCTATGGAAATATACTTTCCTTTCTTCTCCACAAACAGGAGCAATAGTATTCTTTCGGAATGATTTCAATATATGTATTTTTTAAATATGAACTTCATATAATCATTATGAAATCATGGGAAAGTTAAACAGTATTGGACGGTACTCTTTTCTCCTCCTATCCAGTGCTTCGGTTACTTTTTCTCTATTTACCCGTACTAGAGAATTCCTCCAGTTTTAGTGTCCCCCTACTCAAATTCAGTTTGCTTCTGATGATTCAGACCTAGCACAAACAGTTCCCTTCCCACCAGAGTTTTGTTTCTCTATAAATGCTGTGTGTTGAGCCTGAAGGTGGTTCACTATCTTCTCCTCTATTTCCACACCTTGTGCCACTTCTTCATCAGAAAGCGATAACTTAGTCTGAGAGTCTTTGGTTACAACAATAACAGAGGTTCTCCGTGACTCAAGGATATTTGCGATCACCACCTGATGCCGATACTTCTCTAAAGCCTTCAGTGATTTATCAATTAAGATGTCTGGATCTGTTTCCAATTTAAAGGAAATAACAAAAGCTTCAGGGGCCCATTCTTTGACTAGTGGAGACAGCATTTTTGGCACCATCTTCATCGTGATCTGCATTCAGGAGGGAAAAAAATATCAGAAGACAGACATTTGTGCACATAGTAAAATGATTTCAAAGAGAAATAAGGTAAAGACAGGGAATACAGAAAATGCTAGTTTCACCTGAATTCTGCACTTAAAGCTTTGGCATTTTTAAGTCTCCATTTCATTTTATTAGGAAAATTAAAAAATGTCCATTATCTCACACACAACATAAAATTCAGTTCGAATACCAATCTGGATGAGAAAAAAAAGTTTTCCTGACAGATGAAACATCCCTAAGTAACGGAATCAACGTGCAAGCTCCTCTCAATGTGCAACATGTTGGGGATAACTCTGATCCCACTTAAAGGTGAGTTTTCAAACCTCTATAATCCAGACATATGCGGGAGGGCTCACCGTTTCATTCTGCACTGACATTTTTAGGCTAAATATATAGTGTCTGCAAGCAGGTTCTGGAGATCTGCTAGCCCTGGATCTAGTTCAGGCACAAAGCTAAGCAGAACCACCAAGCTACATTAGCAGCTCAGCCATTAACCTGCCATGCAACCCTTCTACTCCGTTCCTCAGCATTACCTCCCACCCTTTGTTCTAATCTGCCCACCCACGACACACCTCAGGGCACAGACTGTTTCCTCACAGGCTCTTCCCCCTGGCAGATCCTGTCATCACCAGCCTTGCGCACCCCCCTCCATTCCCCCCGCTACAGACTTACAGGAGGGTGGAGAGTGGAAATCCTAGCCACCTCCCTAGGAGAAAGCCACTGATCAAAGGGAAAAAACAAGGAAAGGGTTGGAAAGGAAGGGCCCAGTGCTGGTCTGCCAGCCTCAATGGCCTGGCACATCCAATGGGTGCAAGGGGAACTTCACGCTTTTTGGCATCGAGCACTGTCACTGGCTTCTGCCTCCATAGGACACCCAGGCTTGTGTGCAGGCAAGTCCAAGGTCACTAAACCCACCAGGGCAGGGAGGATGAGCCGAGCACATAACGCCCCCCAGAGCATGACTGGCACGGGCTAGAGCTTTCACCTGCAGAGGCCCCTCTGAGGACTGGATCTTGTGCTCAGGCATCTCCGAGGCTGGCACGTAGAAGTCAGACACGGCTGCAGCCAGGTAGAACATGGCGCTGGCACCTGAGGGGACAGGCCGGGGTAGTAAGAACATAGAGAACATACAAACTGCCATGGACTGGGTCAGACCACAGGTCTGTCTTGCCCAGTCTCTTGCCACACCGTGGCAGAGCGCTGATGCTAGAAGGGAGAGTGACCTGGGTCTGACCAGTCTTTTCCACTGTTCCTCTCTCTTGCAGCCTGCAGCATTTAAGCTCGAGGAAGCTCTGATGCAGAGGCTGTGTCCCTCGCTCCCATACCCAATAGCTGCTGATGCCCCTTTCCTCCGAGCACATGTCTAAGCCCTCTTTGAATCTGACTGAGCGCTCAGCATCCACAACAGCTGGTAGCAATGAGTTCCACACACATTAATGACCTACTGGGTAAAATATAGCTTCTTCTCCATCGTTTTAAACTGACTGCCTACTAGTTCCATATTGTCATCCCTAATTCTTGTACTGAGAGACATAAAAAATAATAAATCTCTATTTACTTTCTCTTCCCCGTTTAGCATTTGGTAAATGCTTATGTGACATCTGAGACACCTCTTTTCTAAACTGAAGAAGCCTGGCCCTGCTCCAGGCCAGAGTCATCCTTGCGCCTGCCTCTAGTTCTTCCCTATGGCTTTGGAGGTGGGACCAGAACTGGGCACTGTATTCAAGGGACAGGTGCCCTGTGGGTTCTTAAATGGCACGTGACACTTTAGCTTTGTTCCCAACTCATCGCTAAGCTTTTGTTTGCCCTTTCAACAGCTGCCGAGCAGACGTTCACTGCAGGTCACCCAACAGTGCAGCCTCCACACCTCTCCCAGAGCACGCGAGCCTGTTTGTGACCACCTACAAGCTTGTCCATGTCCATGCACACACGCAAGTGTGCATGGACGCAATCACACCCAGGCACGGTCGTGCGGGGCTGTGTCTGGGTCTGCTCACATGTGAAAATGGGCACGAGCACAATCACGCCTGGGCATGCTTGTGTGGGACCGCGCCTGCGACTGCACACGTGCACGGACACAATCACGCGTGGCCGTGCCTGCTCACACATGCACCGAGGTGCAGAGGCACAGTCACGCGCAGGCCGGGCTGGCTGGGGCCGCCCAGGAGGCGCGTACCGAGGGGTGCGAGGGCGCGGGCAGCGGCACGCAGTAGTGCCAGGTACTCGGCCAAGCCCGTGAACTCGAGCGGCAGCAGCGCGGCCTGGTCCCGCGCGCGGTGGTAGTCCTTGAGGGCGGGCAAGAGGCCGGGCAGAGCGGCCAGGTCGGCGGTGAGGGTCGGGCCGGGCCGCAAGCACAGCGCGTCCAGCAGAGCGGGCGCGGGCGGCAGCGCGCGGGCCCAGGGGAAGGCGGAGCGCGCGCGGTGCAGGAAGCAGACGCCGTAGCCGGCGCGCACGAGGCGCTCGGCC